GGGGCCAGATTCTCCACGGGAGACCCCCCGCCGCGGACAGGGTCCGTCGGGCGGTATACGGCCACCGGGCGGTATACGGCCCCCGGGCGGTATACGGCCCCCGGGCGGTGATTTTGGGCATATTTTAGTGATTTTCAATGTTTTTGTTTGTGATTTTGGCCATATTTTAATGATTTCTAATGTTTTTTTTGCAGTTTTGGGTAGTAATGGTCCCGGGAGGTCCCGTTTGGCATGGTGTCGGGCCTTCGAAAACCCGCCCCGGGAGGTCCCGTTTGGCATGGTGTCGGGCCCCGTCCGCGGCGGATGGTCTCCCGTGGGGAATCGGGGCCAGATTCTCCACGGGAGACCCCCCGCCGCGGACAGGGTCCGTCGGGGACGCCGGCCGGCGCCGTAAAATTGAATTCAGAACCGATATGGAAAAATATCGACTCCAAGACACATTTTTCTTCCAAGAATATTGATTTTCTGCTACCGGCGCCCGATTCCGGCACCCGACTGGCGCTCTAGCCGGACCCCGGGCCGGCGCCGGGGCCAGCGCCCGGGCCGGTTCCGGCGCGGGCCGGCACTAGAAAGTTGAATTCCGAGCGATGCCGAACAAAAGTCAACTCCAATTCACATTTTTCTTTCAAAAATACGGATTTTCTGCTCCCATCACCCAGGAACCCTTCCAAGGAGATTCCGGCACCCAAGCCGGCGCTCGAGCCGGACACCAAAGTCGGCGCCCGGGCCGGCGCCCGGGCCGGTTTCGGCGCCGGCTGGTACCGAAAAATTGAATTCCGAGGCGGACCGAAAAAAACCCACTCCAAAACACATCTTTCTATCAAAAATATTGATTTTTTGCTCCCGCACCCAGGAATTAATTCTTCTGGGCCGATTCCGGCACACGAGCCTGCGCTCGAGCCGGACGCCTGGGTCGGCGCCCGGGCCGGCGCCAGAGCCGGTTCCGGCGCCGACCGGCGCCAGAAAATTGAATTCCGAGATAACGTAGAAAAAAGGCCACCCTAGAACACATTTTTCTTTTAAAAATATTGAATTTCTGCGATCAGCGCCCGGGAACCCTTCCAGGCCGATTCGAACACTTGGGCCAGCGCTCGGGAGATCCCGTTTGGCATGATGTCGGGCCCATGGGCGCTTCTTCCCAATGGTCCCGTTTGGCATGGTGTCGGGCCCATGGAGGCCCCTCCCGGAGATATCGTTTGGCATGATGTCACGAACACGCCCCGAAAATTTGGTCCCGGGAGGTCCCGTTTCGCATGGTGTCGGGCCCCCTAGACCCGCCCCGGGAGATTCCGTTTGGCATGGTTTCACGATCACACCCCGAAAATTTGGTCCCGGGAGGTTCCGTTTGGCATGGTGTCGGGCCTATGAGGGCCTCTCCCGGAGATATCGTTTGGCATGATGTCACGGATCACGCCCCGAAAATTGGTTCCCGGGAGATCCCGTTTCGCATGGCGTCGTGCCCCCTAGACCCACCCCGGGAGATTCCGTTTGGCATGGTGTCGAGCCATCGAACCCGCCCCGGGAATTCCGTTGGGCATAGTGTCACGAATCACGTCCCGAAAATTTGGTCACAGGGCCCATTGGGGGGTTCCCAGAAAACCCCGTCCGCGACGGATGCTCTCCCGTGGGGAATCTGGGCCAGATTCTCCACGGAAAACCACCCGCCGCGGACAGATCATTTGGGGAGGTTCCTAGCGGATCTCAGGCAGAATAGAGGCGTCACAGGCGTCATCGGGCGTCAGCCGAATAAAGGCGTCAGAGGAATAGAGGCGTCACGGGCGTCATCGGTCTTCAGGCGAATAGAGGCGTCAGGCAGAATAGAGGCGTCAGGAGCGTCAGCGGGCGTCAGCCGAATAGAGGCGTCAGCCAGAATAGAGGCGTCACAGGCGTCATCGGGCGTCAGCCGAATAAAGGCGTCAGAGGAATAGAGGCGTCACGGGCGTCATCGGTCTTCAGGCGAATAGAGGCGTCAGGCAGAATAGAGGCGTCAGGAGCGTCAGCGGGCGTCAGCCGAATAGAGGCGTCAGACCGACTAAAGGCGTCACGGGTGTCAGCGATCGTCTGGCCCATAGGAACGACAGGGCAAATACGGCGCCGAGCGAATAAAGGCGTCAGACGAACAGAGGCGTCAGAGGCGTCATCGGGCGTCCGGCCAATAGAGGCGTCAGCCAGAATAGAGGCGTCACAGGCGTCATCGAGCGTCAGGCGAATAGAGTCTTCAAATAGAGTCTTCAAAACAATAGAGTCTTCAAATAGAGTCTTCATCTTCAGGCCGAATGGGGAACCCACCGGGCCACCCCCCTGTATATATATATATATATATATATATATATATATATGTATGTGTGTGTGACTCTACTCCCGCACCGTTGGTAAAGACTGCCCTATCGATGTGGAGACGAGTTGCTCCAGCGACTCAGCCTTGGGCCTGGCCAAGCAAGGCCCAGCCCCTTCCTCCTCCTTGGGCGAGAGGAGGGAGGAGGGAGAAAGAAGGAGGAGAAGCAGGAGGAGGAGAGGATGGAGGAGGAGGAGGAGGAGGAGGGAGGAAGTGGAGGGAGGAGGAGGGAGGAGGAGAAGGAGGAGGAGGAGGAGGAGAAGGAGGAGGGAGAGAGGGAGGGGGGAGAGACGGACGGAGAGGCAGGCGTTTTTGTTTGTTCGCCGCAGGTGTTGCTCTAGGCGTGCTCCGACTGCTGGACCGCAGGAGGCCCTGGGTGACAAAGCAGTGGAAAACTCGAGAGCCATGACTTGAGATGCAATATCGGCGCGAGCAGGAGGGAAAAGCTTGTTGGCCCTGCGCCTCGAACAAGACGCGCGCATGGAGCTGGCTTCCGGGAGCCGTCCACGGTTCTCTCCCGCCACGCGGGCGGCCCTGGCCTCATCCATCGCTGAGCTTGCGACGTATGGCGCACGCAGCGTCCTTGCTGTGACGAACGCTGGCTTGCTGCCCCTCGCTTAGCACGCGAGACGGAGGAGGAGGAGGACGACGACGACGACGGACGGGCTACGGCGCGCCCAGGGGCGGCGCGCCGCAGAGCCCTCACTGAAAGGGCTCGCTGAAAGGAGGACGACGACGACGGAAAGGACTCGCAGGACCAGGAGAGGGGAGAATGGGAAGGGGGACCTCCCAGGCCCAGTTCGCAGCCCGAGGGTGCTGCGGAGCATACAGTTCCTCGAATGATTTGAAATCTTCTCCCTCGATCACGGAAGTGGCTTGAGCGGCCTCCTCCTCGGCGGGGGGGGGGAGGGGAACGCGCCAGCTCGGGTCGATGAGCAAAGCCCGAGGCCCGCACTTACCGATGTCGGTATAGGGGGACCACGGAGCATAAAGTTCAATGAGGCCGGACACAATGTCGTCGGCGTCTGCTTGAAAATCGAAGCACGCCTCACTGTTGGCATCAGTTGTGAAAGACGCTGCACTGCTGGCAGTAGCTCTGGCTAAAGCTCTGCAGTGACTGCTAGGGTGCGTTTTCTTGGCCTGAGTGCGCCAAGAACAACCCTGAATGCGGGGAGGAGCGTCTGGTGAGCGCGCCCGTGCGATCATCTGCATTGGTCTGGAGTGGCCTTGAGCTCGCTTCTTAGCTCTGGCATGCGAACGCACAACAGGCGAGTGGGAGCGCGCCCTAGAAGTGACATGTCGGCGTCTTGGGGCTGGTGCTCGCACTGATCAAAATCGATGACATCGAACACAGGGGAGGAGGAGATAGCAACAAGAGGGGACCACCTCCAGGTTGTGAGGGCCGCGGCAAGCCAGGTGGCAGCGATGGGATGCTACATTCTCCAGTTCCAGCTCTGATGTGCTCGGCTAGCATGCGAGCTAGGGCGTGCAGCGACTGGTTGCCAATGCGAAGCTACTCCTGCTGCCTACTGGTGCAACCTGGAAGTCCCCAGTAGTGGCCCCTGTCCCGCAGAGCGGGGGGGGGGGGCGGCGCTCCACGTTTCACACGGAGGCCCACCCCCAATGTTGAGCACGCGTCTGTCGCCTGTGTGCACAGGCCAAAAGTCCTTGTTGGCATCTATGGAAATATCTATCGAGAGACATGTGATCTCGCAAGAAGCCGGAACTTGCGAGCAGAAAAGGTGCCACTGAAGGTCCCCAGAGCGCCTCATTCCACAGAAAAAATTGAGAACAAAGAATTGCGGCCGCCAGATGCGCCACGGCACGGGTTGCGCTGCGGTGCCCGAAAAAAAATGAGGCCTCAAGGACCAGAAACGATCATTGCTTTTCCTCCGAGCCAGGCCGACCGTGAGGGTCCGCAGCAACAGAGAGGAAGAATTGGACAGCCTCAAGAGAGAAGGCGGGACCGGAGCAAATCGAAACCTCCCTGGCCTCAGAATCGCTCAGGAGTGAGATCACGTCGTGATGCGCGCCTTGTCCTTGACTGCTCGGAGGGGCGTGCAGTGCTGGAACATGGTCTCCATCATATCAGTCCTGCTTTCGGTCGGCGCTCTGCTTCGGCGTGAACCTGCATATTCAGTTGCTCATGCAGTTCAGTAGCGCCAGGACTGCAATCTGCTGTAGCCAAAACTGCTAGGACGCACTGGGGAGCATCGAGGGCGATGTCTTCGACCAGCGGCCTGCGGGCAGCAAAGACCGTGAGACCGTGAGTGCAGTGTTTGGTGTTCCCCGCTTGCCCTCGAACTCTCTGAACGGAAGACTACTGTCTGCGGACGACTTGCTGCTTGACTCTCTTCAAGGAAGAGAACGAAATTTTACACGAGCAGCATTCGTAAATTCGTGTTTGGGGTGCGTCTTGCATCCTGAGCGGGCGCATCGGGTCGTTGACCGATCTGGGAACTCATGCATCGTGAAGAACTTGGAAAGTCTCGCGTTCGACAACACTGGCAAGCGCAGGCCTAGTAGCGTAAGCAGCGCTGGAGGGAGGAGGTTGGTGGAGGGAGAAGGATGGCAGCCCCTTCCTTGAGCCTATGGTGGAAAGCCTCAGCCCCGGGCCTGCCCGAGCGAGTCGCCGCTGCCGATGCCATCGCGGACCACCCCGAAGGGGACGTCCCGCTCGCAGAGCTTGCCGAAGATCTCGGCCGGGCGGCTGGTGCGCCCCCGCCCCCCCAACGCCCAACGCCTTCTCCCACCTCCTCCTCCTCCTCCCTCCTCCAATCTCTTCTTAACAGTTTTCCTCCAACAGGGCATATCCTGCAGTGAAACGGGTCCTCCTCATCCTCCTCCTCTTCTTCCTCCTCATCCTCCTCCTCGTCATCATCGTCATCAAAATCATCAACATCATCATCATCATCATCATCATCATCATCATCATCATCAGCAGCAGCAGCAGCAGCAACAGCAGCAGCAGCAGCATCAGTATCATCATCCCTCGCCGCCCCGCCTAACGCCCAACGACAACGCACGCATGGCCTGACTCGAACTGGTCTGGAAGGTCTGGAATTTCAGAAGTCGCGTTCCGATATCGATGATCCTCAGGACGTGTGCTAGCCTTGTGTGGGTCGGCCCTCCTAACGCCGCCCCGCCCATCGCCCAACGCCCAACGACCACGCACACATGTCCTGACTCGAACTCGCCCTGGAGGCTTGGAGCCTCAGGGATGGCACTATTCGGGCGGGGCCAGCCCGAGCATTTTCTTTGGGTGGAGGGCAAAGGGTGAAATCTGAAATGCCGTTTCGATTGATTTTCGAGGCTTGAATCCTCAAAAGGTGAATCACAAGACGGATTGATTTTCGAGGCGCAAAAACCCAGATGGATTTCACCCTGAGCCTTCCCCCCTAAAAAAATGCTCGGGAATCGGTCCAGAGCGTTCTGGAAAGCTCTCGGATCGATCCGGAGCGCTCTGGAACGGCTGTGGCGCCCGATGCATTCCTCCAGAGCCGCCGGATGTCAGAGATCCCCGATTTTAGGGAAACGAAAAATGGCATGAACATAAAAACTCGGAGGACCGCGCGGACCTCCGAGTTTCTATGTTCATGCCATGTTTCGTTTCCCCAGATTTGTCACAGTCCGATCTCGTCCCCGTCTCGGCCTCGTCCTGGTTCTGACGTTCCGCCGCTCTGCTCCCGGACTCGCGCCCCGCAGCCGTGGGCGCGTCTGCGGGACGCCCCGCGCGCTGGCGCGTCTGCGTGTCGCTCCTGGTCCCCCTCCCCTGTCCCCCGGAGCGCTCTCCGCGTCTTGACAGCCCGAGGGGGAGGAGGAGGAGGAGGAGGAGGAGGAGGAGGAGGAGGAGGAGGAGGAGGAGGAGGAGGAGGAGGAGGAGCAGCAGGAGGAGGAGGAGGAGGAGCAGCAGGAGGAGGAGGAGGAGGAGCAGAAGGAGGAGGAGGAGGAGGAGCAGCAGGAGGAGCAGCATGAGGAGGAGGAGGAGGAGGAGGAGCAGAAGGAGGAGGAGGAGCAGAAGGAGGAGGAGGAAGAGGAGAAGTAGGAAGGCCTCTCGGGCGGCTCAGGGCCCATCAGGAGCTGGCTCCCGGGTGCCAGGTGCTGGGCCCCCGGCGCGCCGGGGCCATCCTCGCGGAGCAGCTGGGGGCCAGTGCCGTGCGTCCTGCACTGAGGGTCACCGAGCGCGTTCCACTGCTCGCAAAGTGCCCACTCGCAACCGTCCGAAAGCACACGTGTCTGCGTTGTTGCAATTCATCGTAGATCCCCCGCAGGGGATCCAGGCCATTTGCCAGTAGTGACTTTGCGAGTAGTGGAACGCGCCTGTCTGCAGGAGGATTTGGCAGGACCTTCGGCGAAATCTCAACAGGCGCTTTCAGATGGCGTCTGCCACGGTGTTTCCGCGACCGCCAGGGCGGCACCGTCGGGAGTCGCCTCCACGAGCCCAGGTGGCTGTTCGGCGCGCGAGCTGCGCCCAGGCAGCCTTCGAATGCCAGGGTGTCTCCATGTCGTCCTCCTCCTCGTCCTGCTCCTCCTCACCCCTTCTCGAGCACGGCGAGTGGAGGCAGCGGGAGGCTTCTGGCAAGCGCTGGGGGGATCTTAGAGAGTGGACAGGCGGTGACCCTCTCCAGGGCCGAGCTCCTCTTCCGCAATGCTGATCGCTTACGTCCGTCTCCTCCCTCTCCGAGGTGTCGACAGCGTCTGCGACATTCGCCGAGTTTCTGCCGACCCCCCCCACAGGAGCACTTCTGATGAGCATGTGAAGCCCCCCCCCCGAACAGCAAGGTTCGAGGAGAGCCTCGAGCCAGCGGCCCGAAAGGCACGGAGAGGAGAGGAGGGAGGAGGAGAGAGGAGGAGGGAGGAGGAGGGAGGAGGAGGAGGGAGAGGAGGGAGGAGGAGGGAGGAGGAGGGAGGAGGAGAAGAGAGGAGGGAGGGGAGGGAACAGAGGGAGAGGTCAGGTCAGGTCAGGAAGTCCTCGAAAGCTCCCCTCGGGGAGAGGACTGCCGTGGGGGTGAAGCACTTGGGCCCCAGCCCGAGAGGGAGAGGAGGGAGAGGAGGAGGGAGAGGGAGTGGAGGAAGGAACAAGACAGGTGCGTTCGCGCCACATCTGACATCCTACCCCTCCCGCCCATGCCTTCCCACTGTGCTCAACACTTTCCGATCCGCCGGGCCATGTGTCGAACGAGATCTTGACCTGGCACGAGGGGGCCAGTTCCCAGCCGAAAGGATAAGAAGAGGGAGTATGGAGAACTAGGGGAGGAGGAAAAAGGTGAAGGAGGACGAAGCCAAGGAGAGCGAGGAGGAGGAGGAGGAGGAGGAGGAGGAGGCTCTCTCGTCCTCCTGTTGCTCCGCCTCTTGTCGCCCCTCCGTCGATCTCCCTTGACACGGGGAGCCAACCTTTTTGTTGTGCTGCAGCCCCAAGTTTACACGCGCGCCCTCCCCCCACAGCCCCGTCAAGCTCTCTCGCGGGTGGGAGCGGATGGGGAAGGGAGGCCCGCAGCTCAAAACTCGAAGGAGTAGGAGGAAGAGGAGGAGCAGAACGACGACGGCGGCGGCGATGACGACGACGGTGAGCGCTGCGGGCCTATTGTCTGGTCTGGGCGTGGCTATGCGCGCGGGTCGATACTTGACACAAGAACAACGCTCGAAATTCTGCGAGTGATAATGCGTGTGGGAGGCTGCGCGGGGAGAGGATGAAGAGAGGGCTGACGCTGCCAGAATCCGATCGAATTCCATGTAACGCAGCGAGGGAGAAATGTTGGAGGCAGGAGCGGGTGGGAGGGGAAGGACGAGGGAGCCAGGCGGAGCGAGCGAAAGGAAGAAAGAGGAGGAGAGGAAGAAGGGGGAGGAGGAGGAGGAGGAGGAGGAGGAGGAGGAGGAGGAGGAGGAGGAGGAGGAGGTGGAGGAGGAGGAGGACGACGACGACGAGGATTTGGAAGAGGACAGAGGACAAGCACAACGAGAATGCGTAGGAGGAAGAGGAGAAGGGCGAGGGATGGGGCGGAGGAAAGAGGAGGAGGTGGAGGAGGAGGACCAGCGGCAGGAAGTGAAGAAGGAGGCGCGGCCGACCATCTCTGTTGCGCGACCTCGTGGCGGGGGGGTAGCGACCGTCGGTAGAGATTTGGCGGCCGTGGTGCCGCTGCCAGACGGCCCCAGCGGCAGCGGGCGCCCGCGGTGGCGACGCGCTCGCGGCGGGGAGCGGCGGACGCGGCCGCCCCAGGCGACCACTTCGGGGTCATCCTACGGCAGCGGCACCCGGATGATGCACCGCACCAGCAGCAAGAGGCCAGAGGAGGGGCGCCGGCCCGCCCCGCTCGGGCTTCCTCCTCCTCATCCTTCTCCTCCTGCTCTTCCTGCTCCTCCTGCTCCTCCTCCTCCTCCTCCTCCTCCTCCTCCTCCTCCTCCTCCTCCTCCTCTTCCTCCTCCTCCTCGTCTTTCTCCTCCCATATCCTGCCATCTCCTCCTCCTCCTCCTCCTCCTCCTCCTCCTTGTCTTCTGTCTCCTCCCATATCCTGCCATCTCCTCCTCCTCCTTCTCGTCGTCTTCTTCCTCCTCCCATCTCCTCCCATACCCTGCCATCTCCCCCTCCTCCTCCTCCTCCTTCTCCTCCTCCTCCTCCTCCTCCTCCTCCTCCTCCTCCTCCTCCTCCTCCTCCTCCTCCTACTCCTCAGCGGTCGCCGACTGCCCCCAGACCGAGTGGAACGATAGCCATAAGAGGAGTGCGCCGAAGAGGCCCAAGGAGATGGGGCCCAATGAGCGCGAACCGATAATGCAGCAGCAGCCAGCAAAGCAGCAGCTCATTGCGGTCGTCGGGCATAGGGGGGGTGTAGCGTCGGGGGGGGGCGAGGGGGAGGACGAACGTTCTCTGCATCCTTCTGTTCAGCATAGAGGCCCAGCGGTCGCCGACTGCCCCCAGGCCAGGACCAACGAAACGATTCCTAACGACACGCGGAATTCAGGCTCATGTCTGGCAGCGGAGGTGCGCTGCAAGAAGGGCTGAGGCCTTACGAGATCCACCAGACGGCGCAACAGTCAGTTCCCATGATGCAGGGCCAAGATGGCGCTGCCCACAGCGTAGACCAAACCGAGTGAAACGCCGCACTCCGCCGAGCGGCGCTCCTGCTGGCTGAGGCCCGCAGAACGAGGCAGCGCAAGGGACCACAGACGAAGAGGCTGCCCGCAATGCCATTGCAGACGAGACGGCGCGGGAAGAAGGAGATGGCATGCTGGCCAAGGGCAAGGAGCCCATTGCAGGCCTAGCGGCCAATGGCGACGAGGTCATCGCAAGCATGGTGGCCGAGGGCGACCGCGATATGCAGGCCAGTCGGCCGAGGGATATTCGCCATCCGCAGGCCTGGAGAACAAGGGGGAGCACGCGGCGCCGAAGACAATCTGGGCTGGGAGGCTGGTTTGGAACAGGCGCGAGCCCCAGGAGTATCCGCGGGGCCTCGCGGTGGCGACCTCCGCGGTGAAGGGCGACAGCGGCCAGATACTGACGCTACAGATGGTAGAGCTCTGCAACGGCCACGCTGACACCATGAGGGCATCCCTCCCTAATGATGCAGAGGAGGTGCGAGTGGGCGACCAGGTCTTTGTCATGAAGTCCGAGTCCGACGGCTGGGAATACGCACTGGCACCTCGACCCATCCGAGGAAGAAGTCGAGGTCGAAGGCCGCTCGCGAAGATGCCGGCGGAGCCGAGGCTGAGGTGGCTGCGCCAGAAGCAGCCCGCGACGCCAAGACGGGGAGGACTAAACTCCGTCGAATTGTGCGCCTGCTGGCGGAGCCTCGCAGAGCAAGGAGGAACAAGGAGGCAGCGGGAGAGAAGGATGGCCGCGACGACGAGGGCGAGGTCGAGGCGGCCACGCGGGAGGAATGCGACGCCGTGGAGGCGGCGGCAGCGCCCGACTCGGAGGCGATACGCGACGCCGAGAAGGCGACGCTAGCGGCGCAGACGCCCGAGAAAATAACAGAGGGCGACCTAGAGTGGATGCTCTCGGTGCCGCCACTGTCGCCAGAGGAGAGAGCCGCGCCGAAAGAAGACGCCATCGACCTCGAAGAGGTGAATGAAGTGCAGACCGAGGATGGCACCATCAGGGTGCGCAAGGAAAATATGCGAGCGGACCTTGCGAAGATGATGGCGCTGGACGCCAGGCTCACCGCAGACGTCCAGGTAGAGTTCACGGACCCGACGCACAGGCAATACATCTCACTCCGCCAGGTGGTGGTCCCGCCCATGCGGGGCATCCTCAGCCGCAAGCTCGCGAAGCCTGTCAACATGATGACGTCGCTGGGGATGCAGCGCCGCACAGGAGGCAAAGCAAACGATGTGACGCCGCGGTGGGCCCACAGCCCCGACCCGCTGCACATGTTCCGCACCGAGCCGGGGCAGCGGGCGTGTCGCGCGAGTCGGGGAGGCACCGACGGGAGCGCCGCGCGCGCGAGCAGGTTCCCGCGCACGTGTGGATCGGGCCGCCCGCGGCGAAGGCGCCCCCCGGCGCGTGGGCTCCAGTCCACAGGAGCAAGAAGGGCGAGGAGAGGGCCCCGCACGACGGGCTCGCGGAGCACCAGGACCGCGGGTTCGGCAAGGGGGGAGCCGCCAGGAAGAGGGGAGGAAGAGCCAACAGTGCGGCGCCCCCCACCGAGGGCTGCAGGAGCGGGGGCGCAGACTTCATCATCATCATCATCATCATCATCATCATCATCATCATCATCATCATCATCATCATCATCATTATCATCATCATCATCTTCATCATCATCATCACCACCATCATCATCACCACCATCACCATCATCGTTATCATCAGCATCACCATCATCGACGAGGGCGATGTGCTCGACGCCTGCATGGGCAAGAAGGACGAGCACAAGAACAAGCATGACGAGCTTGCGAAGCACCAGGGCCGCGGGTTCGGCAAGGGAGGGGCCGCCGGTGGAAGTGCCGCCAGCACGGCGCCCCCCACCGAGGAGACGCGGGCCCAATGGAGAGAGCAGCTGGAGGAGCAGGTGGTGGGCGCGGCCAGGAGGCCGAAAGAGGATGGCCCCACCGAGACGCCACAGCAACCGACAGCCAAGGCGCAGCGGACAGCGGCCGCAAGCCAGCAGGGCGGCTCGAGGGGCCCGTCCATCCGCCAGCTGTTCCAATGAGCAGGTCAAGACGGTGGAGGCAGTGGACGAGGCCTCGGGGCGGCCGAGAGGCGGCGCGAGATGCTGCCTGTTGCGGGTTGAGCCTCGGCATTCACGGCAGCGCGGATAGGCCGCGCGCCGTTCTTGAGCCTCCTGGATCGGCCGGGTCGTCGGGACAGGGGGGCCCGACGCGCGACCCCCCGCCCCCAAGAGCCGTCCTCCTTTTCCTCCTCCTCCTCCTCCTCCTCTTTCTCCTCCTCCTCCTCCTCCCTTTCCTCCTCCTCTTCCTCCTCCCCCTCCTCCTCCTTTTCCTCGTTTCCTTTGCCCTATGAATAGCTCCTCCCTGTCGCACCCCGAGGCCAGTCGGAAGGGCGCCCCCGGGCGTTTCGCTCAAGACTCCTTTACGACCGATGATCCTAAAGTAGCAACAGCTTCTCAGATGGAGGGCTTTCAAAAAGGTGCTCTCGCTTTAGCGCCGCGCACGCTCGTTCTCGAATGTTGCAAGCGCTTCACGGATTGAGGGCTGGTCGTTTTCAAGTTGTGATTCCCGCCTTGGCGCCGCGCACTTTCGTGTTAAAGTGCAAGTGTGTCACGGATTGAGGGCGGCTGCTTTTCAAAAGGTGGGTCTCGCCGTAGCGCCGCGCACATTTGTTTACAACATGTGCAACAGCTTCGGGGATCGCCATGGTTAACGCACCAAATATGGCGTTTAGGAGCGATTCACGATTGTCCAGGCGCCAAAATGATTTGATATGTGGTGGTGAAGTCCCAGGAATGGCGTCTTGGCGCAGTTCAAGATCGCCCAGACGCTACAGTCAAGCTGATTCGTGGCGTTGGAGTTCCGAGAACGGTGTTTCGGCACGCTTCAGGATATTCAAACGCTTGTCTTCCAACAGTGCATTCTCTCTGTGAACATGAATCTTTGTAGGGGCCGAGCAAGAGGGAACTTGGAGGGAGGGCTTATTTCAATAATACTGGTGAGTCGTAGTTTCATACGGATACTCATCCTCATCCTCCTCCTCAGCATCATGGTAATCATCGTCATCATCATATCTTCATCCCTTCAGATCCTCATGTCGTTTTTCTTTTCCTCCTCCTCCTCCTCCTTCTCCTCCTCATCCTCCTCCTCCTCCTCCTCCTCCTCCTCCTCCTCCTCCTCCTCCTCCCTCTCTCTCTCTCTCTCTCTCTCTCTCCTCCTCCTCCTCCTGCTCCTCCTCCCTCCTCTCCTCCTCCTCCTCCTCCTCCTCCTCCTCCTCCTCCTCCTCCCTCCTCCTCCTCCTCCTCCTCCTCTTCCCCCTCCTCCTCATCCTCCTCTTCTTTTTCCTCGTATTTCCTCATCTCCTTTTCCTCCTCCTCCTTCCTCCTCCTCCTCCTCCGTCATCCGTCTTGGCATGGGATCCACGCCTGTAGTTCCGAAATCGCTATGTCAGGCGTGGAAGCAACTGTAGATCTGGCGGGCGTTGAAACAGTGACAAGATTGCCCACATCAGCTTCACGTGGCCCGATTTGTGCCCCGACAGACGTCTTGCAAGCATGGCGGTCGATCGGTGCCCCCGGCTGGGGTAAGAGCTTGAGCTTCGGTGGGGGCCCACAGGGGTCCCCCAGCGCTGGCCTGCGCGCTGAATTTGCACTCCAGCCCCGCAAAGCGCGCAGCGAAGGGCACTCTTGCTTAGGATCGCACTTGCGTGTAGCCGAAGCACTTCGGATGATCGCGGCTGGGCCTCAGGAGCCCCGCGGACTTGTCCAGCGCACCTTGGAACCCAGGATTTGGAGCCAGCCACCCACGGAATGAGATCTGAGCCCGGTTGGGGCTGGAGGATAACCCTTTGATTATCGTTTGCCCCCGAGCTGGCCAGTTCGCTTCCAGCTGCCGCCGAGTGTCTCCTCGCCACGGCGCAGTCGGGCACGAAAGTTGTTCTTGACGCTTCCCCGGGCTCCCGACGTCGCGAGGTTTTTGCAGCGTGGATCCCCAGAGGTTTCGGCCCCTTCCCCGGGCTGCTTTGGCGTCCTGTGTTGCGTTTTCACGGTCCCCCTTGGTCGACTAGACGTAAGAGTGACCTTTCGCAGGAGTGACCTTTGGTGCGGACACAGATGGGTCCCCAGATGGTTCAAAACGAAGCAGGAGCAGCGGCTTGCGCGCCCAGGTTTGGTCCCCCCTCGGCCCCCAGAAAGCCGCGCACCAAAGGTCACTCTTACCCAGGGTCACTCTTGCGTGTAGCCGACTTGGGCCCGGCGAGGGCCCCCAGATGCAGGAAGTGGTGCGAGCCTTCCCGCCGGTGTCTCGGGGGGGGGAGCGCAGGGGACCCCGCACACGGTGGGCCGGCTCGGGGTCGGCGTGCGGAGGCCTCTCGAGGGGACGCCCGCTGGCCCTCGGGGGCAGCCCTCGAGGCCTCTGCCCTGGGAGGGGGGGGGGCCCTGCAGGCGGGCTGCGTCCCCGGATCTCCAGCGATGTGTCTGTTTCAATTCTGGCGATTTGTTGGTCTCGATTTGAGCCTCCAGGCGGCGCTTTCTGGGCCCCGGGACCCCCAGGGCGAATTTTTACCCCTGGGGAAGTGGTCGGGACCTCCGGGGCCGTGGATTCACAAAAGCATGAAAGGGAATTGAACACGGGCCGCTTGTCCTCCGGAAAACGAACGAGGCTGCTAGAGGCCTGGTGCGGCAAACGCGGCCTATGGAGGGCTCACGGGTCGAATGTGAAGCCGTTAAGTACGGAAACGAACACCACTCAGAAGATGAATTGCAACTGTCACTTGGAGCACAAGCCAACCAATTGATTTGCAGAACTGTCCCACTGCTAGCCACCAATCCGGCATACCAGACCACAAAGAAACACCAGAGAGCAAATGCACCTCGGCGGAGGCCAGGGTCCCCTCGCTTCCCCCAGCTCCCCGTTGGGCGACGCCAGGGCCCCCTCGCTTCCCCCAGCTCCCCCGTTGGTCAGGGGCCCCGCTGCCCCGTCGAGGACATGCCCGCCGCTGGCTCCAAGTCCGGCTTCCCTCTGGCGTACGACTTCTTGACCAAGTTCGACGCCTCTCCCTCGGCCGGGCCCCGCCGCGGCGAGCCGGCCCCCTATGCACGCGGCAGGGCCCGCGGTTCGAGAGCCCAGCGGGGTAGCCCAAGAGGGGAGACGGCCAGGCGAGGGTAATCGAAGAAGAAAGAACGCCATGAGCATATAAACTTTTGGCGCTCCGCGCGGATTTCCTGGATCCGCGCTGGGCCTCCCGGCGGCGCCTCCGGCGCCTCCAGCGCCGCCCCTGGCGCGCTCCGCGCGCCAGGGAGGGGTCGGCCCGGCGCAGATCAAAGAAATCCGCGCGAAGCGCCAAAAGTTTATGTTTATGGCGTTTTTTTCTCCGTCTAGGTAAAGATGACTGCCGACGATTCCTGCGTGGGCGACCCCCCCCCCCCCCAGACATCTGGCCGCTCCTATTTTTGTTGATGCGTGGGCCCCCAGAGGATTGGATAACTTCCCCAGGGCCAGGTTCTTCTTCCCGAGTCGTTTGTTGAACGGCCCCGGGGCCCGTAGAGGGCACCCAAGGCCCGAAAATAAATCAAAATTGGCCGCTCCATTTTTGTTCGGAACCTCGGATTTCTGGGCCTGGCCCTGTAACATCCTCTTGGCCACCCCTGGGCCTTCAGTCGGCCACAGGACCGCGACAGGCCCACAGAGCGAAGAGTATGCGAGAACAGGCACGTATCCTTGTTGCCCCCTTCCGCCATTTCCCCAAACAGTGCCTGCATTTTTTGGGGATTCTTACTTGTCTCCATAAGGAATTGGTTGGGTCTGGCGAGGTCTCGCCTCACTGCCGCATCGTTGTTGCCTCGTCTGCTGGGTGGGTCCAGCGGGGTTTCGCCACGTTGTCGCCCGTTGCCGCCCTGCTGCTGCCTCGTTGCCACTTCGTGCGCCCGGTGGGCTTCAACTTTCGCCAAGTTGCCGCCCGTGGCTGCCTTTGTTGCCGCCTCGTGCGCTGGGTGGGTCAGTCGAGGTTTCGCCACGTTGCCGCACGTTGCCGCATTGGCGCCGCTTCGTGTGCTGGGCGGGGCCGGCGAGGTTTGCCTCATGCGCTGGTTGGATATGGCGAGGTTTCGCCACGTTGCCGCCCGTTGGCGCATCCATGTCGCCTCGTGCGCTGGCTGGGTCTGGCGAGCTTTCGCCACGTTGCCGCTTCGTTGCCGCCTCGTGCGCTGGGTAGGTCAGGCGAGGTTTCGCCACGTTGCCGCCTCGTTGCCGCCTGATACGCTGCGTGGGTTTGGCGAGGTTTCGTCACGTTGCCCCAGTTGCCGCCTCGTTGCCGCATCGTTGCCGCCTCGTCTGCCCGGTGGGTCCAGCGAGGTTTCGCCACGTTGCCGCCAGGTTTCGTCACGTTACCGCCTCGTTGCCGCCTTGTTGCCGCCTCGTGCGCTGTGTGGGTCTGGCGAGGTGTCGCCACGTCGTCGCCTCGTTGTCTCTTTATTGCCGCTTCGTTGCCGCCTCTAGCTTGCACCACGCATTCTCCCCCCTCAGCGTTCTCGTGCTGCTGTCTTTTCCGCCTCTCCGCCTTAGCAATGACACGATGCCCTAGGTGCCCCATCCTGCCACCTCCAGCGCTGGTCCCGAAATGTCTAGTGAACGTGGCGGGTGGCATGTCGAACGGGCCCAGCTTCTGCCCACTCCTAGGACCCAGGAGGTGTAGGAAGGCTTCTTGTTTGGCGTAGACAGTCAAGAGCAATAGTGCAGGACCTCTGGCAAGATCAGTGCTGAATGGTTTTTTGCAATATTGATTCTTCGGAAGAAACCGAGTTCAACATAACGTACAATCGGACATCTGCTCCTGGCCAGACAACCGACGGAAAGCGGTAGACGTAAGTGTCGTGCGTATTATTGGTTCGGCCTCCAAGGACGTGACATGATGCGCACATGTATGGTCGGTGAGCAGCTACTACGTCTGACATATGGTGGCTAAGCAATGTGTTGGATCAGATAGTACCCTCTAGACAATTTACACCTTCCGGACAATGAGGACTACCTAGCGTAAACATGAAGCAGTATCCCTCAGCATCCGGCGGGAATGGACAAGAAAAACAAACGATAGGCAAATGTCAAGCAAAATTACCTTACAAACGGAGATCTACGGTGCCAAAGGCTGGACCTTTTTATCGGAGTCTAGTCAAGTTCAGACATGTGTCTGTATACACACAGTCATATGCGTATGTCGCATCGCGAAGCGATACATGTTGGTTTGATGCTATATGTTTGCTGTTCCCACCCATCCTATGTTGGTGGGCCCCCGCTTGGGAGAAACAGCGCCCCGCGTCTCCTCTCCTCCTCCTCCCCCCCTCCCTCCTCGCATCCCTGCGTATGCCCCCGCCCGATTCGCGCAACGCTCGCACGCTTCGTGGCCCCACGAGGAGCCACATCGAAGGCCACAGTGGTAAAGTCCGCGGCGGCTTCGCGCAAAATTTCGGCACACCTCTCACACGTTTTGTCTCCCTGTAGAGAGCTCCACCGAAGGCCCAAGTGGAAGCTCGCATGGCGGCGCCGCACAAAATTTGGGCACACCCCTCACACGGTTCGTGGCCCCGCAGGGAGGCCCGCCGAAAGCATCAGTTGAAAAGTTCGCATGGCGGCGCCGCGCGTGTTTCGGCGCACCCCTCACACGTTCCGTGGCCCATGGGGAGCCCCACCGCAGGCCCCCAGTGGCAAAGTCTGCATGCCGACGCCGCGCACACATCGTCACGCGCCTCATACGCCTCGTGGTCCCACGGGGATCTCCATCGAAGGCCCCAGTGGGGCGGCGCCAGGCCCATTTCGGCACACCCCTCACGCGTTTCGGGGCCCCCTAGGAAACCCCACCGAAGGCCCCAGTGGGAAAGTCCAGATGGCGGCGTCGCGCACAATTTTGGCACACCCCATCACACGTTTCGTGGCCCCACAGGGAGTTCTTCCTCTTTTGTCCCACCCGCCTTGCGATGGTCAGGCCTGCACATGACATGGTTGCCCTTTGCGGGAATAATGTGTTATTGGCATTGCCCGCGTTCACCTCGGAAGTCGCACCAGCGGTTGCTGACGTCGTATAACTAGCATTGCATGGGGGCACGCCTTGTCATTCGCTAGAGATCTGCAAATATTCATGTTGCCAAACATATTAATTGATGCTACCACAGCTATCGTTTCTATATAAGTCGTTTCTCACTCATGCCCCGTTTCCGCTAGTCAACACACCAGCATGTTTCATCCTGCAGATGTGGATTTGTCGTCTTAGTCGGCACGACATCAAGTATCCCGCGTTCAGGTTAGTAGTCAGCGACGCGTGTTGGGTGGTGGGTTATTGTTATGTGTACCGCTCGTTCGTTATTCCATCCTTCATTTGCCATTGTTCATGTTCGACACTGTTCGTACCGAACCTGCCATTTTCATTAATGTCGCTATCGTCCTACCTATCCATACCGTGGCGTACATTACGCTCTGTTCCGCGTCGTTTGTCAGAACCCCTGAGCATCGCCATACCACGCCGCGTTGAATCAACAGTCACGACTCGTTGCCCATGAGCTCTCGCCTATTGTTTTCCAGTGTGCCCGCACAGGAATTCGGGGAATCCGCTCGGAGATAAAGGAAACACCCGTGAAAACTTGCCCATGATGTCGGAGGATCAAAACGAGGAGAGAGGAGGGTGGTCATCGTCGTCGTCGAACGATGGGAATGGTGGTCCGCCGTCCTCATCGAGGAGAGGGTAGGGTGGATAGAGGAGGGGGGAGGAGCCAGTTGTGCGCCAGGAGAGAGAAATTTGCTCCTGAGGACGCGGTCCGCCAAACATTCTCTCAAGCATGAATCCGCCAACTCCTCATAACTAGGGGACCCATAGCAGCACGCTGTCACCGAGCCGCGATTGCAAGCCGATTGCGGTGATGACGCAAGAGACGAGGACGGATCAGAAGCATCACTGGAGTCTGGAGGATTCTGCTCTGGCTCGGGAGCCTATCGAATGCTATTTCAGACTTGTGGCATTGAGGGCACAAGGAAGGAAGGCTGGGAGGGGAAGGTGTTGGCGCCGCGGCTGCGCCTACAGTGATACCTCCTTCCCTGCCTACCGCTTCCCACCACCAACCTCCTCTCCTCACTCGCCTCCCTCCTGCTCCTCTACCATCCCCATGGCGGTCACACCGTTCCGTCTGCACATCCTTCCTTTCTTTTGGTGTCGCTACTTCCGCTTATTTTTTTCCGCAGCCGTCCTTCTTTTTCCAGCGCTTCCCCACCCCTGTTCTCCTCACTTCTCCATTCTACTTCCCCGACGGCTCCCTCCTCCCGCCACCTTCTCCCACCTGGTGCCTGCTGATTCCTCTTCCCCATATTTCTGCTCCTGTTCCCTCCCGAGGAGCCAGCCGCGGGTAGTTTCTGGCTCAGGTAGGGCCCTCGTGCGGGCTCCGTTTTTCCCCCCGAAGCCGGTCGCAGGAGTAGGAAACGTCAGGCTTAGAGAGGGCCGTCCGTTCCGAGCGATCGGAAGCAGAGGTCAGGGTGTTGCTTCTGCGTGGGAGTGCGGATCGCCCAAGACTAACAGACCACAGGGCACGATTTTGCGGCGACCGCGGGCCGAGCTGAGGACAAGCCAGGCCGCTCCCGCAACAACAACACTGGCTTGATGCGCCACCAGATAGCCCGCACGGAAGGGGTTGTCTCCAGCTCCCGAGTCTAAGTTCTGCTCCTTTTTTCTTTATTTGTTCTACATATGTTTCCGATATCTGTGTTCCTTTTCCCCAGTTGCATATGCAATTGTTTCTCCCTTCACTCTTCGCCCATGTTGCCAGTCCCTTCTTCTGGCCACACGCAGACCGTAAGGCATCAGCCCGGTTTCTTCGTCTGCGGTCGCCACATTGTTGGTTGATCCAGTGTTATATGGAGTATTCGCGAGGGGGGTGCTCCTCCTACTCCGACGCCGCCCTTTCGGAAGGCCAGGCTAGGCCGAGGATGCTTCGTTGATGGCTGTAGGACGCCAGGGAACACACGGGTTTTGCTTCATGATCTGAAGGGACCACAATCAATACGGTCAACGACGGGATGCCCCCCTGTGTCCGAAACAAATCGATCTAATACGACGGAGCTTCGCATTGCCAAGTGACTATCAGTAACATGTGCACGGCACGGCACACGGCGTGGCATTGCATACGGCACAGCACAGCACGGCACCGCCTCCCCGAATCACGAGTAGGACCCACGGCACGTCCACGTTTGGGCGGCCACTGGTTGCGCCAAAAGAGTGCGCCGAGGTCTGATATCGGTTGCGGCACAGTTTCGCCGAGGGTTGCCGCCGTAGGTTGCGCCATGAGTTGCGCCGCAGGTTGCGCCACAGGTTGGGTCATAGGCTGTGCTCGACCAAACCGCGTTTCGGTCCGCTCAATCACCCTTTCAACTCTGAATTGCACATGCATGTAGACCTTAGACACCAAAGTTGCATACAAAGACACATGGCAAGTCAACATCGAAATGCGCGTGCACGGGACAACACACGCAGGCACGGCAAGGCATGCGGTCACAGCATGCGCACGGGCGGCACATTTGTCGCATTCTAGAACGCGGGCGCGGTACGGCACGCGGGCACGGCATGGCACGTGGGCACGGCGCATGTACGGCACGGGCATGGCACAGGCACAAGGCTCGGCACGCGGGCGGCACATTCGTTGCATTCTAGAACGCGGGCACGCCACGGCACGCGGGCACGGCCCGTCACGGCACGCGAACACGAGCACGGCACGGCACGCCAGCGGCACATCTCTCGCATTCGACAGCGCGGGCACAGCACGGCACGCGGGCGGCATATCTTTCCGATTCTAGAACGCGGCACGCCACGGAACGCGGGCACGACTCGTCACGCGACGTGGGCAGCACATTTCTCGCAGTCTAGACCGCAGGCACGGCACGAGGGCACGGCACGGCACGGCATTTTGGCGGCAGATGTGCCGCATTATGTTTTGCAAGCACGGGCTTACCAATTGCAACCCAGACCCGTTACATAGTTCGTTGTTTAGGGACCTTCCCCAAAGATCGTTTGCACCAGTGGATTATGATTTCTTTGCTAGGTCG